CTAACATCATTCATTTTTCTCAAAATTGCGCATTTCCGGTCCGGTTCGCTCAGTCCTAATATCATTCGTTCTTGTAACTTTCATCTAAAAAGTTCATCAATAAATAAAAATATGTATTAAAAATAGCGCAGAAACAAGATGAAATTTATAAATCTGATTAATTTTATAATGAGAAAAATTAAAAAATTAATAAAAAGTTCTATTTTGCGTAAAATTAAAATAATTAAAATATTATATTTTAATTTTAAAGCATAGTCAAAAGTTGGAATTTAAATCAATGCTTAACCATTAAAGAATAATGTTTAAATAAAGCAACAAAGCAATAAAGTTAGTGGAAAAAAATAAACCTTCATTTGACTTAAAGTATCAAAAAAAAAAAGAATTGCGTAATTTACTACGCACGTGTTATACGTGATATTCTACGGCATTGACATCATATACAAAGCCAATTAATCATTCGGACAACTTCTGATAGACGTAAAATTTTTTGAAAATTCACTAAATTAAAAATAAAAAAATCTTTAACTGTGTTTCTTTTTGCGCTACTCAGACAATTTAACGGAGGAAAAAAGTTAAAATTAAGTTAAAATTAATAGTTAAATTTGCAATAAAATTCATAATAAGCTGATTGTGTCATTTTGAGTATGTCATTTCCTCTTAGTCGTTGGATATCTTTTCATTTTAATCTAACCACTAATTATTCTGCTAATGATTCCGATTATTTAATCATGTTCTTATATAACATTTTCGTCTCTTAAATTATTTATAACTCCTAGAATCCTTTATTATTTCATCATATAATAGCTTACTACTACTAACAATAAGGTTAAGTGTAATGAACTGCTAAGGTCAAAGTTTACGAGAGGTTCTACAAAAGTACCTTGTGATAATTGAGAAAATAAAAAGGAAACTTGCATTTGTAGCATTTTTCTTATGCTACACTAACAGTTCTAAAATTGTTACTCAATATTGAGGTTATCTAAATTTCACAAATGTTAACATTTCGATTCACCTAGGGATTAATTTCAGGTCACTAATTGATTGTAATAGTTCATGGATCAAAACAACTCTATTAATTTTGGTGATTTAAAATTGGTCCCGAAAAAATTTTTAATTTCAGATTTAAATACAAATGTTTTTAAAAGGAAAAAATTCAAAATTTTTCAAATTATATTCAATAAAAACAATTAAAAATCAAAATGGACTAAAGAATGCTCAAATTTGAAAATAAATTCAATTAAAATGCAAAGATTGCAAGTGAAGAAGGAAATAGTACAATTAATTGAAGAGATATAAAATTCAACATGATTATTTGAGATTACAGTATCTGTTAGTACTGTTTAGTAGTAACTAGAGATGGTAGACAAATATGAAAGAATGGTATATGTAAAGAGATGACAATGATTGATAAGAATTATGAAATTTTGTTGATAAGATGAACCTATTATAACTATTGTCTGAGAATGAGTCCAAATTAAATATTCCTTGTCCATATTATTCCCATTTTACTGTTTTTTCCGGTATGTTGAAAAATTAAAGCTCTAATCCGGAATATTCGATAAGTCCTTTTTTTTTTTAATCTCCAATATCTTAAAATTAGCCTTTTAACGTCCAATTATTATTTTAGTGTCGTTAGTTTTGATGTATCCATGGTTCCCGATATTGCTGAATAGCATGACCTGATTTTGATAGGAAGGAAAAAGGTAAAAGCATTTGTACAATTGTTACAACCATATCCTGAAAATGATTTATGTTATATTATTGTCAAATTGTTTTGTCAAACCTAATTTGTCCATCAGTTACAGATAATTCTTCCATAGTAATATGTTAGATTGTTTGAGCGATACTTGAAATTTTGGAAAAAAAAAAGAAAAAAATCATTTCATATCTTCAGTACATTCGTTTCTTTTTTTTGCAATACTAATTTCAAAATTAATTTTTCGAAGTTCATTTCAATCAATTTTTTATTTTTGTTTTTATTAATCTTTGGTCGTTTTTTTTTCCACACATTACACTTTTGCGCAAATTACGTCAAAAATGATGAAAATTAAAAGTGTAAAAACATAAATTTAATTTCTACACTGATCACAATATTACCTCTCTCTTTTTTTTCCTTTCTCTCTCTCTTTTTTTTTCCTTTATATTTTTAAATTTAATTTCTACACGGATCACAATATTACCTCCCTCTTTTTTTCCCTTTCTCTCTCTCTTTTTTTTCTTTATATTTTTATTTATTTAAATTGAAATGAAACAAATCTTGTAAGATTAAAGAAAAAAATAATATGTTTACGTTGGTGATAAAAATTGAAATGCCCATATTATCATTTCAAAAATTTCATTTATTCTATTAATTTAAGATAATTTGAAATATTTGATATATACAATTCTGATCGACTTATGATCATTTTAGGATGGAAATAAATTTTGAATTTATTTATAACATCAATAATTGTCGCATTTATGGATCACTCAAAGTAAAGTTAGAGAGACGAAATCAAAAATTAATGAAACAAAAAAAAAGAAAAACAAGAGAAAATGAATGGGCAATCGTTTTTAATTTTTTGAAAGAAAAAAAAAGCATCGAAAACCGGATACTCTTATTTGAAACATTTGCTAGGTGCAATCATCAATAATTCGATTGCCTGATTAACTTCTGCATTCATTAATCTCTGCTTCTTGTTGGTTTAATGATGATTGACCTTACTTGACCCCATTGAGAATTTATTAATTGTGCAGGTTTCAAGGTGTAACTAATTAAGCTTGTAGGTATTCTTGTAATACAATAACTATTTTATATCATATGAGAAAAACTGCAATTTTTGATCAGAAATTTTGGCACCGATTTTATATTGTATCATTTTAAAATGTAATAAATGAAAGTTAATGATAGTTAAAGTTTTATATTAACAGCTGATCGGATCAGTTGTTTCATTGTCCTGAGATTTCTCAATTGTTGAGAAGGAGGAGAAAAGATGAATAACAGCTGATCGGATCTGTTGTTTCATTATCCTGAGATTTCTCAATTGTCGAAAAGGAGGAGAAAAGATGAGGTTAAAATTTTGTACTACGTATTAAAATAGATATCTGAAAGTGTAGAGGGAGATGGTAAAATTCGTGAATGGAATAATAGTGACCTTTCCACTGGGTTACACTCCCATCATGACGTTCGTTAGTTGCAAATGAATGATTCTCCCATATGACCATTGGTACTCGTTAGCTTACCGATATTTGACCTCGATTGACCTTTTCCTAGCGGCATTTGACATTAACCATTTTTCTTTGAAATTTTTCTTTGAATTATTAAGATTCACATAAAATTTCTTCGACATATGCAAATTCATTTTTTTTTTATATTTGACTTCAGTTGACCTTTGCCTATTATATAAGTGTATAAGATTTTCATATACATTTGTTGAAATAAATAATCTTTGATAGTTTAGAATAAATTAAAATGCATAAGTTTTCGTCAAAAAAATGCTAAAAAAATTTATTAATCACTGCTAACAAAGCTAATCTATCCAATAAATTTATAATATCATTACTTAAATAATCATTATTTAAATTATTACGAATAAATTTATTCAATAATTTGCAATATCATTTCTTAAACATTGCTATATATATTTATTGTTATATTATTTTAACATATTTATTTTAAATTTCAGTCTAATTTTTTGGCATTAGAAATAAATTTCTTTTGCAATTAAGAAAATGATTAAAATTAATTGCTAATTTGTGTTCCATTTCTCGACATGCAAAAGAATTCGAGTAAATCGGAGCATTACTGCGCGAAGTACGATAAATGTCATCGTATGAAATGTAATGATTTGATGTTGTATTTCGCGGAAATCCACAAATTAATTTTTACTTTAATTTAATTTAATTTTAATTTAATTTGTTTCTCTTAACTTCATCAACATCTAGGAAAATGATATCGATTATAGATCAATGGTTCTGAACTTTTTTTTTGACCAAGGATCATTAAAATTTTTTATTTATAGTAGTATCATTTTTGCTTTTGTTTATATTTGTACCACAAAGTTCAAAAATAATAAATTCTTTTGATTTGAAAATAAATTTTAATCAAAACTTTCAATGCTATTAATTTATTTATCAAACATTGATAAGAATAATCACAGCCTGTTTCCATTGCATCATATCCTCACGGATTATCACCGGTTGGGAATTGTTGTGGTAGATAAAGATATGAGTACCACAAACAGACAAGTACCATTTAGTGCTAGTAGCATAGATTATTTCAACATAATTACGATGGGTAAAAAGATGAAGAAGTACCACTCTATCTCATCCCTTGTTTAATTATCTTTGCCAATTAATCATTAATGGCTAGCTATGAGACCGATAAATTAGTAAGGTGAAATTTAATTAAACTTTTTTATTTCACTTTGACCTTCATTTTGGATTTTATTTCATAAAAAAATAAAGTTTGATTTTAATTATATCAATTATTGTTCATAAAGAGGGAGGAAAGAATTACTGAACGTTAATCGAATCTGTTGAATTAAATTAATGGAATACTTTGATTTTCATTTTTTTTTTCTAAAATAAAAAGCTAAAATGAAAAAAAAACACCAATTTAAAGTTTTCATTTAAGTTCCAATTAAAAATTACACAAATAATTAAATAAAGAGAAAAAAGAAAAAGTATATATAAGCAAAAGCAAACTAAAAAAGTAAGGATAAATGTAATTAGAAGTAAAATTAGGATGGAATAAAAAAAAAGCAGAAAAGGAAGAGAAGGGAGATAGAGAGAGAGAGAGAAAGAGAGAGAGAGAGAGAGAGAGAGAGGAGGAAG